TAATAATAATAATAATAATAATAATAATAATAATAATAATAATATTGAAATAAAAGTCCAATGCATTATAAAATAATTAGTGCGGTCAAATGATTAATCGAGATTAATCACATTCAAAATAAACGTTTTTGTTTATATAATATATGTGTGTGTGTGTGCTGTGTATATTTATTAAGTATATATATATATATAAAAATACACACACATGCATGTATATATTTAAGAAAAATTTTGTTTATATATTAAATATATTTATAAATAATATGAATTACATGAATATAGATATATGCATGTAAACATGTGAATATTTTAATATCTCACAATTCTGACTTTATAACTCGCAATTGCGAGTTTATATCACACAATTCTGAGAAAAAAAAAAAGTCAGAATTGCAAGTTTGTATCACGCAATTATGAGGAAAAAAGTCAGAATTATGAGATAAAAAGTCGCAATTACCTTTTTTATTTTTTTATTCAGTGGCGGAAACGGGCTTCCATACATATGCAAGCATATGCATATGAAAAATTATGCGATCATCAACACTACCGCATATAAATGAAAACTGCCTAATGTTACAGAGTTATATGTCAATCCAGAAAGTTGTAAACGCCTGTGCAAGCTTTGGGAGTACTGATGGAAGCCATCTACTGCATCTTTGTCTGATCTTTATTTTGATGTATTGCATGTTCAGATATTCATACAACAAAATATTCTGGGGGCCATGAAATTTTAGTGAAAACGCTGGAGGTGGCTGGCAACTTTTTTCAAAAACGCTGGCGGGGAAAGAGTTAAAGAACTTCAGCTGTTGCTTGCAAAAAATGCACTAATTACGTTAAAACTACATTACCCAAAAAGCATTGCAGCACTTACATCTAGCACATACTCCTGCACCACAGCGTGAAGAATGATGGTGATACAAAGGTAGAAGAGGACAGTGGCACAGTCTTTCCATCCGTAATGATACAGAGTCACCTCTCCATCTGAAACACACACACACACACACGCACGCGCATTAGCTCATGTCACTGATGCATCAGACCGCAGCAGATCTGAGAGACTGTCATGAATGAGTGTGTGTCAAACCTGCGCTCATGGTGCTGATGTTATACTGAGGCTGGATGAATAAAATGGCTGTTTTCGCTGTTGTCTGAAAGAGAAGAGATAAACTGATGTTCACTAGATAAAATTCAGCTTTCCTGCACAATGATGAGTAAAAAACACAGATGTGACCCTTGACCCAAAGACACACACACGGATCACATGATCTATAATAAACTCTCATGTGCTTTCATACAGTTACAGCTAGAATTAAAGAAAGTATTCTTTATTTCTCAAACATTTAAAAACATTGTTGAGACCTCCTGAATGTGTATTTTATTAAGGTTTTATTTAATAGGAAGATGACAATCCAATACAAAGACTTACAGGAATAAAATGACAACAAACCAGGTTAACTTAAACCATAAATGTATATTTCACTTCAAATAAAGTAAATGTTAACTGAAATATTTTGTAAGTATTTAGTTAGTTGCCAAGGGAACATTTCTCAGTTTTGTTTGGTTTGAATAACTAAAACAGAAATTAATAAAAACTAATTAGACCTGATAAAAAAAAACAATTGAATTAATAACATTTTTAAATTAAAATTAAAATTAGAAAGAAAAACGAATTTAAAATAAACGTAATACTACTATAATCATTTAATAACTATTATAGTTTTAATAAAAAAAATACTGAATGATACTAAAAAATAATATGCAACTAACAGGGGGAAATATAATAATAATAATAATAATAATAATAATAATAATAATAATAAAAAATTTTGTTTATATATTAAATATATTTATAAATAATATGAATTACATGAATATAGATATATGCATGTAAACATGTGAATATTTTAAAAAATATATACATGCATGTGTGTGTATTTATATATACATAGTAAATATACACAGTATGCACACTTATATTATGTAAACAAAAACTTTTATATTGGTTGCGATTAATCGTTTGACAGCACTAAAAATAATTTAATAATTTATTGCAACTTGTTATACTTTGCATTTGGTACTTACTCTTTATTTACTACATCCTAATAAAATGTATTTGTTTATATAAAATATTTCTCAAAATTGGATCTTGTATGGAAAAACAAAGTCTGTTGCTGTCTGCTATATTGTTGGACATTTGACTAATACAATTTTGCCAAAATAATAGCTTCTTATAATAAATCTAGTGGAAGTGGTGTGTTCATGAACACTGTATAAATACTGATCAGAGGATTGACATGCACACATTGTGCAGAAGACCAGTACTGACATTTCATATATGATGCATTTTAGCAGTTTGATCCATGAAAAATTGCAAAACAAATCAACGGATTTGTTTCTTAAAGTCATGAACACAGAGGCATTTGAATGAAACACACAGATGTTGAGAGCAGCAGGTGTGTGAAACAGCAGATGTGAAGGGAAAACCCCCGTCTGAACACAGATATGATGCTTGCATGACAGAAGAGATGCATGAAATAAACTCGTCTCATTCAGTTTCTCTGAACGTTTGCAAGCATTCAACAGCCTAATACGACAAACCTGAGAAGACTGTTTATCTAGAAACCTCAAATGCACATTTTCTGCTTTAGATCACTGATTTGTAAGCGACAGATCACGATGCATTTGAATATGAAGGGTTTTTGAAAGAGATTTAAACTGATACTGCAGTATATATATAGAATGAAAAATCAGGGCATTTTTATTTCATTTATTTGGGTTCCAGCACATGTTGGAGTTGAAGGAAATGAGAAGGCAGATAAGCATGCTAAGAATTCTTTGAACTTGAATCAGATAGGAATTGACATAAAAATTAGTAAGGCAGAAGCAAAAATAATAATTAGGAAAGCTCTTATAAATGCATGGCAGAAACTTTGGGAGAAAGAGAAGACTGGACGACATCTATATAGAATTCAAAGGGAAGTAGGAATACGTAACAACGACATGGGATTAAGAAGACGAGAAGAATCAGTAATAATAAGAATTAAAATAGGACATACTGCATTGAATGGAAATTTAAATAGAATTAAGAAACATCCGAATGGATTATGCATGCATTGTGGGATTTGTGAAACTGTAGAGCATGTACTGTTGCATTGTAGAGCATATAACAACGAACGACAAATGCTAGAAGCTAAAGTAATAGAAGAAGGTGGAAGCATGATGCTAGAAGATATATTAAGTAAGCTAAAAAGGAATAAGAATATTAGATTTGCTTTGTTGAAATATCTTAAAGATACAGGAAATTATATAAGAATATAATGATGTTTATTTATTTGTTTATTTATTTATGACTATTAGTATTATTATTTAGTATGATATACATTCATATGTGATACATATACATGCATCGATGCTCCACACTCCAGTTCAGATGGTGGCGGTAATGCACTAATAAGCTAGTCTGCCAACCGCCAATAAACAGAAGAAGAAGAAGAGATTGAAACTGCATTCTTCAGGAATGTCAATCAAACTGAGCGCGCTTGAGAGATTTGACGTGGCACTTCTGCAGAAACTTGAGCAACATCACCACAACATTTTAATAAACCATCAGAACACCTGGTTTATGTTTTCATATCTAACAAATTGCACATTAAATGCATTACGAACTTTATGTATCTTCATACTCTGGGCCCAGGTGATGGTGTCAATGTTTTAAATAAAGTCGTGAAATATGGATTTCTTATAATGCATTGAATTCAACCTGAGTGATGTTTAATGCATACTTTTAATGTAGATTAAATGCATAAACGGAGTGTCTCAACTTACTTTTACAACCAGCCAAGTAGATGATGATGATGATGGTTTCAAAGGCTTTACACATTCAAATGTAAAAGTAAAGTCTGTTGGTCTGTTTTAAAGCCGCACGTTTAATTTCGATGTAAAAGTCAGAAGACAGAAAGAGAGAGACAGAAAAACAGCTGGCTGAGACGCAGACAAGAAAAAAAAAAAAGAGAATCCAAAACTTTTGAACTCACCTCAAACATCAGTCCAATCAAAATGAGAATCACCCAACTAAACACAATGTCCGCGTGATTTTGAATGAGAAACTCTTGGCTGAAGAAAGGATAACTCTTGCTTCTCCTGCGAAAAGCCATTTTACAAGTTCGCTATTTTCAGCTGTGCTTTTTTTTCTCCTCCAAATCTAAAACTTCCACGAATCACTCCAAACTTCAGCGAGCGCACTGCGCATGCGCGCTTTAGCCACGAACCAAATTTAGCGCGCATGCGCAGTAAGAAGCTAGGTAATAGAAAAATGTAGGAAATCGTATTTCTTTTGTTTTTTTTTCATAAATGATTTAGCATTCCAAACATAATAATTATGTAATTATTATTACAATTTTATTATGTTTATTGAACAGTAAATTTAGTCGTGTAATACCATGTAAACTAAACTTAATTTTCACAAAAGTACAAATTAAAGCTATTTAATTTAATACTATTACAATATTATAATAATGATACATTAATTAATAAATTGAATCTTGTAAAATTCACAGCAACAACTCGCTGTAAAATGTTTTATTTTTTTTCTTTATCTATAATCGTAAACGACTGTGATTGGTCTATCCTGGCCAGCGCTGAGAAAAGTAACGCGTACTACGTGACAGCACATCAACGACTGTGTGACTGTTTACAACTGAATAATGACAATGAAAACCTTTAATAGCCAGGTATTAAATTGTAGACCTGACGTGTCTACGTTAATCCACGCGTATTTCACTACCATTCCACAAAACATCGTGTCTGTATAGCCTACTGTAACATAAATCAATGTTCATGATTATTTTTAGTTCAGTGCCTTCCTTTTGCTGTTTAATCTGACACTTCATTCTATTAATCATAGTTTCCACTGTGTATGTATATATATATATTTGGTATATTCAGCAATTTCCTGCAATTTTATTTATGATGGCTATTATTCCTGTGCACAGCAGAGATAAAAATGAGCTTGATGACATTTCACAAGTGGAGACATATGTGAGAGACACATTAAAGCAAGTTCATAATAATTCCTGTGAAATTAATTTAATGAGTAAATGGAATTCACCAGAAGAGCAAACAATCCACATCCAGGAAAACCAAACAAACTTTCATTCACATTATCTGCAAAACTCTATAATCTTATGGCTGAATTTGCATTGAAATTATTGCAAATATTGACCTGTTAGGGGACACAACCCTGCACTACTGTTTGAGCACAGACATCCTTCAGAATAATGCATGCAAATAATAACTATTATTAGATAGTACACTCTCAAAATGCTTTCATGAAAAACAATGGAAACACACACACAGTGAGCACTTCAAACAGTGAAAAACCACTCCAGTGGATATTCACTAAAATACCCCTGAAACATACTATGACCCTTGAGCTCCTGTCCAAGGCAAATGCATCAAATATTTCTTTATTTTTTATTTTTTTTTGAGAATTTTAAAGATGAGCTCAAACCATGTATCAGCTTTATAAATATGTGATAAATTCATGAACAAATCAATGCATAACAAAAAATAATAAAATAAAAAAGGAATTAATATATAAACTTAAATTTAAATGAAATAAAAAATCATTTAAATAAATAAATTAATTAATTAATTTCAATTAAATACAAAACATTTAAAATTAGGGTGAAATTGTAACACTTTAAATACCCCAAATGACCAGGGGAATTAATTAATATTACCGTAGGGTTAAAGTAAATTTTTGAAACCTGAAAAATACAAAAATACAAACCTGACCTATCCTTTGAAAGGCAAAACCAAAGATTTGTGGATAAGACAAAGCGAGAAATATCCAAGATACAAATGACTGAAGTACCAGCAGAAAAGATCAGAGAGCAAATATTCTTATGCAAGGATATGGAGCAGTCCAATGGCATCTGCCATAACAAAACCCTTATTAATTATATGGTAATCTACATATTCAGAGTCTGATCATGTTCTAAGGTGAGTTTTGTGTCTATTTTTGTCTGTATCAGGCACTGTATGCCAAAGACTGGTAATCCAGACCACAGCCCTTCATAAGAGTGATTTACATCACAGTCTGAGAGGATACGACTTACACTGAACATCTGCAGCTCACAGGAAGATTGTGCTTTCGGCTCAAACCAACAGCATGTGGATTTTTATTGGTTATGTTCAGAATGGCTTACTCCATGCATGCAGTAGATTATACAGTACAAAGTAGGCTAATTTTATATATGCATGAAATACACATGACTTTTTTATCTCCTCTTTGACTAATTTGTTTGTACTGGCAACCATTTTGTCAGATAACTGGATCTATAAAATAACCACTGTTATTTTTTAGATGATAACCAGATGCCGCTTGTTTAATTTAACATGCGATGTGATGAGGTCATGTGATACTGTAACTTATTTATCGTTGCTCACTTCATACTATTTCACATACTTATTAAAAAGTAGACAAATACTGTGCAGTATTCCATTCTGAACATAAACAGAGAGAGAACTAAAAACAGAACAACAGAATAATAAACATTCAAAAAAAGTTTTTGTTCCTTCAGACAGTATGTTTAAATATTTTACTCAATTCTATTGTCTTAAATATAATATCCGGGTTCAAGTTTCAGCTGCTTGTATTTCATTAATTAATGCCCCGTTTACACTGACAGTCAATAAGCGGTTGTAAGCAAGCTGTAAAACTATTATTTATATGTGTTATATCTGTGTTTATATATATATATATATATATATGTGTGTGTGTGTGTGTGTGTGTGTATATATATATATATATATATATATATATCAAAGTTTGGAGTCGGTACGATTTTGGAGTAAGTACTAAGTATACTGTTTTCAGCAAGAACCCATTAAACTGATCAAAAGTAACAGTAAAGACATTAATAATGTTACAGAAGATTTCTATTTCAAATAAATGCTGTTCTTTTGAACTTTCGATTCATCAAAGAATCCTTAAAAAAAGTGTATCACAGTTTTCATGAAAAAAGTGAAGCAGCAAAACTGTTTTCAACATTGATAATAATCTGAAATGTTTCTTGAGCAGCAAGTCAGCATATTAGAATGATTTCTGAAGATCATGTGACACTGAAGACTGGAGTAATGATGCTGAAAATTCAGCTTTGATCAAATAAATAAATTAAATTTCACAATATATTCAAATAGAAAATAGTTATTTAAAATTGTAATAATATTTCACAATTTTACTGTTTTTACTGTATTTTTGATCAAATAAATATAGTCTTGGTGAGCAGAAGAGACTTCTTTTAGAAAAAAATCTAACCCCAAAAAACCAACCACAAACTTTTCCTACCACTAAAAATTCATATTCTGGAAGGGACGCAGTATTGAAATTGCATCACATCATGAACAAGATGAAATGAGTATTTTTGCATGAATGAAACTCAATGCTGACAATTTCTGATAAAGTTTTCCACAAATCCTTTTTAAATTACATCCCTGAATGTGGGCAAAGACAAATTACACAAAACAGTGAAAAGCTCACAACGACATTAACTGCTTCTCCGTCTTGCTTCATCTGGATCATCTTCACTCTCATTGGTAGTTGCCATTGAAGCTCATTTGCATGACGTTAAAGACATGCCCACATTGCAACAACTTTCATGCTGGAAACCGGTGTGAACGCCACTTAAAGCTGCAGTTCATATGCTGTTAAAAGCCACCGTCCTCTTCCGGACCCCTGTGAGACAGAACCACTTGCCTGCGGTGGCCTCTGAGGTGCGTCCCAGAACCCTCAAGAAGCCCTTGCCCGCTCAGTCCGGGTGCAGAGGTGTAGCAGGGTCCCGCTCGGCCCAGAAGCCCCCGGACGAGATCCCTGTGCAGCCCGCCGTCTGTGGAAATAGGGCTCAACTCGTCTAGAGTTTCCAGCCCGGTTCCAGAACCGAAACTGAAGGGCGTCTCGCGGTCCAGACGCGGGTTACTGGAGCTGCTGGGGGATTGTGGGTCGGCGCTGAAGTATAAAGTGGAGCTGGATTCAGTGGGGCAATAATAGGGCTCAGGACTGTCCCCAAAAACAGACTTTCCCTCCGGCGAGCTCCGCTTGCACTCGGATGCGGGCGACTCTAACGGGCTCTCCATTTCGAGGCTGTCATCCGCGTCGTCTTCCTCTCTGGCTTCACTCATGCTCTCAAACTCCTCCCTGCAGTCGGACAGCGGCGCCATCGTATCATCCCGGCTTTTCGAAGTGGACACGCACCCGTCCTCCATGATCTCTCCCTTGCGATCCACCACCAGTATCCCGGACACGCCACCCGCCCCATACGCCCCGTTGATCTTAGCCGGGTCACCGGTTTTCAGAGCAAGGCGGATGAGCAGCCAGTGATGGTGGCGACACTCTCCGTCCGGCTTCACGCCGCAGCTCCCGGGATGCTCCAGAAGAGAGCCGGGGATCCCAGAGAGGGAGAAGGAAGGATGAGAAGATGGGAAGAGGACTGGAAGAGGGGCCGGAGGAAGACTTTTGTCCCCCAGAGAGAAGGACGAATCTCCCTGCTGAAGACACTCTCGACCCATGTGTGCACGCTGACGCAAACCCAGAGAGATTTCAGTGGACTTGGGATGCAGGAAACGATAGTACAACATCAGAGACGTCAAACCTGAGAGAGATAGAGAGCAATTCATTTAATTTAGCTGAAAGAGATCAAACACAAATGTTACTAGATGAGGGCAGTTATCAATCTATAGCAACTACATTCATATTTGAACTGCACTTGATTAGAAATTAATCATTTTGGTTAGAATTTTTTAAAGATTTGTTTGTGTAATTTATTTATTTTGTATTTTTAGCAATATAAATTTAACTTAATATATATATATATAAAGCATTATTATAATTTATTATTTTTTTCTCATTTTAATTACATAATCTTATGTTTTCATCCATTTATTTTACTGCAGTGAAACCACATACTTTTTGTGAATCTTTCAGAGACAGGAATATTTCTATGTAATATTTTTATGTAATATAATAATATAGTTTCAAAGGTCTTGCTGAATAGATCCAAACAACTGCATACCAAAAAATACATTTAGTGAAAGGGCAATTATTTTTAGAAAATATTTATTTTTATTTAAACTCTACCATTTAAAAATGTTTGATGTCTTGTTTTTTTTTAAACACAAAGACACATTAATTTGATCAAAAGTGACAGTAAAGATATTTATAATGTTACAAATGACTATTCTATGACTTCTATTTCAAATAAATGCAGTT